TCAACAACCTTCGTCTCAACAACCTTGCTCTCAACAACCTTGCTCTCAACAGTAGCACCATCACCGCGTCTTGTTGTGTCGCTCTTGAGCTTTGTCGCATGATCTTCGATAATCGTCTCAGTAACCACAGTCTCCAATTCCACGTAGTTTGTCTCCGTTGTCTTCTTTCCATCCTTGTCTTTTGTGACGATAGCGACACCAGTGGTCACCGTCTTCTCAGAACATACGTCTTCCTTACAAGAGGTAATCGTCACAACAGTCGTGCTATCTGCCGACACTGTCTTCGTAACATACGATTCAATTGGACAATATGTCGTGTAGCTCGTCACAACTCCCTCAGATGTCGTCACAACAACAGTCACTCCAGTTGTAACAACTGATTCATGGCACACATAGTCATGATCACAAGAAGTCACAGTGATGACAGTGGTGCTGACTTCTCCCTCAGTGAACTTCGTGCTGGTGATCAGTCCGCTGTCGGTAACATCTAGGGAAGATTCCACTTCGTCACTCGAGGATGAGGTTGTGATATTGCCCGAAAGCTCACTAGTAACATTCACATCACCAGCGCTGCTTTCTTCTTGTTCCACCTCTTCGTAGCTCTCTTCTTCGCCATCACCTTCCTCATCACCTTCCTCATCACCTTCCTCATCACCTGTAATAGTCGACGACAGCTCATACACAATCTCCTCCCTCTTCAACAGCCCCATATCTTCAATCGTATTGATCACGATACGGGCATTGGCTGTCCACGAGCTACCGCCGTGCAGCTCTGCTCCAAATCTCACGCCAACTGTGTCCTCTTCACTAATGTTCTGTACAAGCGAGATCAAGATCGCATCAGGCGCAACGCTTGTTGTGGCCAACGTCGACACTTCACCGTTAACAGTAACCTCTGCATCGGAATAATCAAAGGTGTTATTGACTTCACCCTTGGTGATAGCGAAATCAATGCTCGACCATGGTCCCAAAGTTCCTGGCACCACTATCGTCCACTCTGAGGCGGTATTCCCAGAGAGAGCTTCACCAGTGAAGCTCAGCTGCGCAGAAGGTTCAGGCGTGGTCTCGTCATCTGTCGCCGACTCTTCACTAGTGCTTTGTGCTTCAGATGATGATGTCGTAGATTGAAGATCACTGGTAGAGTCCTCAACGCTCGTGGTATCTTGAGAGCTTTCCTCTATCGTAGTGTCTGTAGCACTAGATTGGATGGAAGAAGGCTCACTCTCTGATGAAGGTTGGCTCTCTGATGACGGTTCAATCTCTGATGAAGATTCAATTTCTGATGACGGTTCAATCTCTGATGAAGATTCGGTCTCTGGTGACGACTCACTCGATGATGAAGATTCACTCGATGATAACGACTCAATCTCTGATGAAGATTCAGTCTCTGATAACGTCTCAATCTCTGATGAAGATTCACTCGATGATAATAGCTCACTCGTTGATTCTTCACCAGGATTATCTCCAAACGGCCTAAATTCGTAGACGAAATCAGCTGGGTTCTGTTCTATAAAACATGGCTCTCTCGAAGTTCCATAACCGGTCCCCTCACAGAAGTCATATTCTGGTACTATTTCCATTGAGTTAAAGCCTGCTTTATCACAGGCTGCTCCAGTCAAATAACGTGTACCACCTTTGACGATTAAGAACTTCTTACCAAACAGTAGCGGTATATCATACTCTGACACAATTATCACAAAAATACCTTGTCTCAAATTGGTGTACATATAAGAGTCCGGAATTATCACTCCTTCTGGGCTTGTTGGTGAAGGACTATACCACAGCTGGATATCTGTTATGTCGTCATAGTCTTGTGTGAAGTTGATGAATCCATATGTCTTGTGTGTCACATTTCCGCTGATAGGATCTGTCATCTCCTCATTCCAATATGTAGATATAAACTCAAACTGATCATCGAAATTGACGGTTCTCCCCTCTTGAGCACAAATCTTAATACTATCAGCTGGAGTGAACTGGTAATGATAGGACATGTCAGTAGTCACAGTAAACGTCTCAGCAGTGTATGTCGTATCCGTTAAGGTGTTTCTCAACGAGATACTACTGCTGCTGCTGCTGCTGGTAGTACATCCACCAGTGTAGATACACGGATCAATACCCCAGTCAGGTGTGTATTCGTCTGTCAGCGTTGTAGAGCATCTGGATGTTCCCGTAGGTTCGGTACTCAGCGTGGAACATGCACGCAGCGCGTCTGTCACATACGCTCCGTAGTACTTCCACAAGGTCCATCCACAGTTCATGCATCCAGGGTAGTAGTTCAAGAATGGAGACCCTGGCTCACATAAGCACGTCGTGTTGTGAGGTCCCCAGAAAGCCGTGGTGGTGTTCAAAGAGCACCTCTGGCCCTCAATAATCATCAAGCCACAGTTGGCGTGGCATCCAATGTCGGCACACTGGTCAGCAGAGGCTGCCATGGCATAGGCCTCAGGGTCAGGGTGACCGATCGACAACGCTTCAGCGTATGAATTAGCGTACGCTTTGGCAGCGGCAGCGGCATAAGGGTTAGCATTAGCCCATGGTAGAGCCGCTGCAATGGCTTC